CCAGGGATGGAGAAGGGGAGGCTGGTAAGGAACTGGGTCCTTCTGGGTCCACTTCTGGGAGCTGCTCCAGGCTGGCAGACTCTGGGGAAGGACATCTGAGGAACATGACTGGATCCAAGTTGAACAGAATGCCCAACAGGATATCAGACTAGAAAAGGAAAAATTAAATGGCATTCAACTGTTAAAGAGTACATTGGGAATCGACCTTAGTGCTAGGTTCCATAATGTAAACTAACCATTACACTACAGGATGATCTCTGGGACCCACCAGACCCACTCATGTATCCTTCACTGCATGTCCTAGACCACCTGGAAACAGGAAGGTAGCCAATGTTCACCCCCAACTCAACCAAAATGACACTGCCCTCATCTGTCTGGTTAGGGCTGTCAGGCATCACACAGATGGAACCGAGTAAACAGCTCTACAAATCTGAGTAAGCCCTACCTCAGAGTCTGAAGAGTAAACACCATCAGAGTCCATGGGGAGATGTTCTGGACGGGTGACAACTGGGCCTGCACCTGCTGCAGAGGTGCACGTAGTCTGAGTGCTGCGGACTCAGCAGACCCGGCCACCGGCCCCGCTCCATTCCCCTGGAAGGAAAGACCAGTCAGTGAACAACTCCAGCAGCTGGGTGTCCCCAGGGAAATGCTTGCCAGGAGGCTGTGATTCTCAACTTTCAAGGAAGCTAAAAAAAACTTTTTTAAAAAAATTCATTTATTTTGGCTGTGCCAGATCTTAGTTGACAGCATGTGGGATCTAGTTCCCTGACCAGGGATCAAACCTGGGCCCCTGCATTGGGAGCACAGAGTCTTAGCCAATGGACCACCAAGGAAGTCCCTAGAAAATTATTCTTTAGAACTGAAATCTCTCCCTTACATATCTGTTATTTCCTTTTTTTTTTTTTTAGTCTTCCTTAAGAAAAGAAAAGCGAGGTAAGTCTAACTTCTTTTTTATTTTCTGTACAATAAAATGTTTTTCTTCCCCAAGCTAAGATTCAGGCAGGATTGTTATTCTTAAATATCATCTTATTTCTATTCTCAGTAAGAGTAACATCCCTAGTAATAAAGTTCTATAGTGAATTGAGGCCCAGAATCTTTTTGGATAGTGCTGTACTCAGATACTCAGTCATGTCCAACCTTTTACAACCGCATGGACTATAGCCAGCAGGATCTTCTATCCATGAAATTTTCCAGGCAAAATATGGAGTCATGAGCTGTGGTTGGTTACTAAGTCTCTGGAACAGACCAGAGCAGGGCGTGCCCTTGACCCTGTGACAGGTCACCCCTGGTTCCATGTCCTTTAAAACCAGAGACAGTAGTAGTCAGCTTTATGGTGAGACAGGGTGAGGACACAGCCAGTCCTCTTGCATTTATTGTTGTGTAGACAAAATGGTGTTAATGGAATGTTTTTCACCTCCCCACTGGTTGTTTTGATATTGTTTGTTTTAAATGTATATTTAGAATGGAATCATCTAAAAAGCTGATCTTGCTAACCTCCTGTTCCCTTTGAAGGGATATATCATAAGAATGTGTAAAAATAAAAGTCTAAGAAAAAAAAAAAAAAAAGAGAGAAATTTTCCAGACAAGAATACTGGAGTGGAGAGCCATTTCCTGCTCCAGGGAATCTTCTTCACCCAGGGGTCGAACCCATGTTATTATTTTTTTTTCATGTTATTATTTTTAAAGTTTGTTCTGAACACTACTTTTAGAGCAGAACTGCCAGTCAACTTTAGACCACTTGTGTGTTATCACTGGATTTGCCATGATTCATAAATTAAAACCCACATATCATGCTTCCATCAGAAAGGTGTGTCTATCACAATGAATCCCTTCTCTTATTCATATTCATCAAAGAGCTATTTTAATTTTAGTGGCATTCACAGTCAGGTTTGACTGCCACTCTTACCCTGGTTCTCCTCAATGATGGCATTGTAGACACATGTCAGCTACCGGCATCTGTTAGTACTTGCTCTCAGAGAGTCGTGTAACTTATTCCAGTTATTAGGACTTAGTACTATTCACTACACCCTTGAAAAATGAATATCCTTAAAGAAAGAGGTCATGTCATTTAAAACCAGTTCTTACATACGGCACCAAACAAAGGACATGACTCACCTTGGTCTCTGCTTCCTCTTCAGTCACTAGGGCATCCATTCCCAACCGCTGTCTTAACTCCTGATTCTCAACTACAAGGCCATGAGTTTTCTCTCGTAAAAGCTGATTTTCTAACAAAAGTTTTTGGTTCTGGAAGAAAGTTCAGAAGAGGTTATTAAAACATCTCATTCTTTCACTTTAAGAATACACCTGACAGAGTTTCACTACAGTAGGTTTTCCTTCCTTCTCCTGGATCTTTTGGAAAACTCTATGCTTACACAGTTTTCATAGTACATATTAGAAGGCAAGGTGATAAATATAAAAAATAAGCTATTTAAGACGTACCATTACATGAGGGTCATATATAACAAAGTGCACCAAACTACTAATAGAGACCTCAGCAAAGAGTGACTTGTGGCTTTAATTTAGATGTGATGGTTTAAAAAATCCTATCTTGAACTGGTAGGTAATAATAAAAGTGATAGTGGTGAGCTGTAAAATTATCACGTTTTAAAAAAAGAACAACACAAATAATCTTTATGTATTCAAGATGTGTAACTGGCAATAATTTAAGTTTAGGTAACAAGTGGGTCCAAGAAGGGGAAGGGAACCGTTGGTGAACTAAGTCAGGAAAATTTAAGCAATGATTTCCTATCAGCTTTTACTAATTTCTTCGTACTGATAAAACATTGTTCTATCGCTGTAATTCACCAACAATCCATTTAGATTGATCTAGTACCAAATACTGGAGAAGGCAATGGCACTCCACTCCAGTACTCCTGCCTGGAAAACCCATGGACGGAGGAGCCTGGTAGGCTGCGGTCCATGGGGTCGTGAAGAGTCGGACATGACTGAGCGACTTCACTTTCACTCTTCACTTTCATGCATTGGAGAAGGAAATGGCAACCCACTCCAGTGTTCTTGCCTGGAGAATCCCAGGGACGGGGGAGCCTGGTGGGCTGCCGTCTATGGGGTCGCACAGAGTCGGACACGACTGAAGCGACTTAGCAGCAGCAGCAGTACCAAATACCCGGAGAAGGCAATGGCACCCCACTCCAGTACTCTTGCCTGGAAAATCCTGTGGATGGAGGAGCCTGGTAGGCTGCAGTCCATGGGGTCACTAAGAGTTGGACAGGACTGAGCAACTTCTTTCTTTCACTTTCAGCACCAAATACCAGAGGGTGAATCACTTCTGTTCTCATCAAGCTTCACCACTTTACCTTTCTACCCTAACTTAGATTAGCTTAATTTTTAACAACACATCCAATTGTATTCTAAAGGAGATGAAATCACCATTCACCAGGGAAAGCTACACAATGGGTGTAAGATAAAGTGTTTGGCCTTAAGTATTTTTACCTCTTCTTCCAAATCTACCACTTGTTGCTCCAGCTCACTCATTCGAGCTTTCTTTCGGTCTCTGGCAGTCTGAGCTGCTACTCTGTTTTTCAGTTTTCTGAGAACAGAAAGAGACATACCACACTGAATCATCTCAAACCTTATTTATCTTTATTTGAAAACTTGACCAGCAGGTGCTTTCATTTTAATTTACAGTACAGAATAATGGTAAAATACACTTCAGGCTCCTCTGCTCAGTAAAACAACAAAAAAAAAATCGGCCTTCTGTGGATCTAGCTAGCAGACCTACTCATCCTCCCCCGTATTGCGTCACCCACCTCAGCCACGTCCCCACCACAGCACAGAGGTTGCATCATAAGATATTTTCTCCTCCCCTTTCTATTTCCCGTTGATTCCTGATTACAGTCCCCTCAAAAAGGATCCAACCAGGACCAACCTGGATTAGGATTAAACCTAGCGAAGGCTGCAATCGCGCTACTGCAGCCGATAACGTAGTAACAACCTAACACCAAACAGAGAGAGGCTGATGCGACTTTCCTCTTGATGCTGACAGCCTAGGCCCGTGTCTGCTCCAGGAGGCACTTCATAAATCACAAAAAGCACACTGATCATAAGAGAACTAACATTTACGAAGGACTAAGCACGAGGCATTTCTCCACCGCCCCAGCGACCTCGGGAAGTAGATAACCATTTTAAAGGACGCAGAAACAGACTGAGGAGCCTCATAGGGCTTACAGCCCCTTCAACAGCTGGCATTTCAGTTCCGTGAGCCTCCAAAAAAGTAGGTAAACCCATGGCTCCACGTCACAGCCCAAGTTCAGAGAAGCTGAACCAGGGGTCTGTGGTCACACAGCTAGAGGGACTGGAACCCAGGTGCCAGCGTACGCAGCTCTAGTCATCTCTAACGAGACATAAAAGAAAGGAAGAAAAAAGGCCTGCGCTGCCCTGGACTCCACCCAGCGCAATGGATCGGCCAATTCAGACTTCCTGCCCTGCCCCGCCCCGCCCCGCGCGGCGCCACGCTGGCACCGGACCGGCCAGACACCGGAGCCCGAACGCTGCAGGCGGCCAGCGCGGCCCCAGGCCCCGGTCCCGCTTTCGATTTCGGCCCCCAAACCCCCGAACCTCGCCCACCTCCGCAGCGCCTTCTCTTCGGGGCTCAGGTGCGTGAGGCGCTGTCGCTTGCGCGCCTGGGGAGCCCCCCCGCTCGCCCCCTCCGGGCTGGCGCCTTGCTGGCCCGGCACCATGACCGGCAGGGCCCNCACCATGACCGGCAGAGCCCGGCCAGCCGGGGCTCCGGCGGCAGCAGCGGGCTGGCCGGACAGAAGCAGTACTTTAGGAGCCCCGGCGGCCGGGCTCTGCGCGGGTGCAACCACCACCATTGCCGGAGCCTGTCTACGCCAGTGCGCGCCGCCGCTGCCCAGTGGGGCGGCCCTGCCGGTCCCAACCTTTCTACGATCGTGGCCCTCCGCGATTGGCCATCGCCGCGTGACGCAAGCCTACCTCTTCCCCCATTGGCCCGGGGGATCCGGAGGGGGCGGGGCCAGGGCGTCCAGCGTGACCACCACCGCGGTCTTGCGCAGGGGGCGCCCGAACCTTTTGCGCAGTGGCCACAGGCAGAAGTTTCTGAGCAGGTGCGGGGCCTCTGAGGGCAGGGTGGGGGTGGGGCCCGGGATCTTGAGGAAGGGTCCGGAACCAGGCGGAGTTTCCTCAATAAATGGATTTCCCCTCCTGTGCTGACGGAGAGTTTAATTCGAATCCGCGAGGTTTCCGGACTGATGAATTTTAACTGAGATTTTTATCCAGGCCTGAGAGAATTGTATCTTGTGCGCCCTTTCGGGCCCTGAGCTGAGTGGAAAATCCAAAGGGTAGCGCGAATCGGGCCTTGGGCTAGGAGAAAAAAAGCCTGCAGAGAAATTCCGCGAAATACGTCCTTAGGGAGTGAGATGGCCCGTTTTAAAACTAGATTCATTGCTGAACATAAAAAAAAAAAAACAACTAGATTTACCTCATAGTGAAGGTTTAATAAACCATAGGTGATATTCCCTGAGAATGGCGGGATGCCTGTAATTTCGTTTCTCTTTGCCTCTCTAAACTTTCAGCTATGAGCTGAAGTTTATGAAACAAAAAAAAAACAAGCGTGTATAAAAGATTGAGGGTTCCTGCCTGCCTGTTGTGGCGCAAAGGGAGTGGGGGTGGGGTCCTTGTGAGAGAGGGGCCTCCGATGTAGCTGGGGACCAGTTTAGACACAGGAATATTAAAATGGAAAAAACTGAGGAAACACCCTCCACAGCCATTCTCACTTTTTTGAAGCGAATTATAAAATGTTAAGTTCCCTGGAATCACGAAGCAACCGTTGCTTTACGTTGTTGCGTCCTCTGTGCTTAGCACTGTTTTAGGTTCTGGGGATGCTGTTCTTTAGTATATAAGTCGTGATCCACTCTTTTGTGACCCCATGGACTGTAATCTGCCAGGCTCCTCTGTCCATGGGATTTCCCAGGCAAGAATACTGGAGTGGGTTGGCATTTCCTTCAGGAGATCTTTCCAACCTAAGGGTGGAACCTAAATATCCTGCCTTGGCAGGTGGATTCCTTACCACTGAGCCACCAGAGGAAGCCCTGAAGGGACCCAGAAGTGAGTGAATCTCTCTGGTGGTTGGAAGATATGCAAAGAGTGAAAGAATGCTTCCAGGTAATTCTTTGGTGTTATTAAGTCAGACTAGCTTTTCAGTTATCTTTTGGTGGTGAGAAAACAAGTTGGGAAGAAGGAATGAATGAAAATTAAATCTCTCAATATACAGGCCCCTTTAAGGCATGGCTTCTGTCATCCCCAAGGCTGGACTGTAAGTCTCCTAGTATTTTCTTCCTCCCAACCAGAGGAGTAAAATCAGTGACTTTATTTAAATTGAGTCGGCCCACCTCAGAGTGTCCTGAGCACAGGCTGCTTCATTTGATTGGAAAAGAGATGAGAGCTGATCAGAGACCAGGACAAAGCAGCCAGCCTCCCTTTTAACCTCATCAGCCTTGAGCTAACTGGGTCCTAAAGTGCATGCAGGGGTAGGACTCACTCCTGGCCCTGGAACATTTGGGGAAAATTTCTCACAATGCTTTCTAGTTGAGACATACATGTTCCTGTTACAGGACCTTGAAAAGCCGTAAGAGGTTCTGAGAGAAGCCATGTAAATGTCATGAAGACTTTTAAGTTAATATTTGTGAAGGCCAAAAGAATGTCTGGCACTGTATAAGAAATCTCAAGGCAACTAAAAGAAATTTAAATCATTTAGACTTTAAAAGAAAATGCATGAGGATTTTATCAGTCCAGCATAGTGTAAATAAATAACCATATGGAAAAGGTACAAGAGCTGGGGCAGAGGAGGAAAGGTCGATGGATCGCATTTTAGTATTGGTCAATGGGGGTAGAAATAGAATGTTGAAACTGACTCCCCCAGCTTTGTTTTCAAGGCCCTTTTAAAAAAATCTTTTTGATAAACACATTAAATCATACTCAGAAACAGTCATTGGACCCAGTGCTGATTGCTGTCCATGGAATCATGAACACTCTTGTCCAAACCTTTGAACAGTTTTATATCCTTTCTGTAAGATTACTCTGATAATTCTTGCATCAGATGCCATTAATATTTTAGAACAAGACACTTGTGATTGGAGTTCTAAAATATACAAAATACAAAGTTCTTAGTCTTTGTGAAATGCAAGAAAGAGTAGAACATTCAGTTCAGTTCAGTAGCTCAGTTGTGTCAGACTCTGCAACCCCATGGACTGCAGCACGCCAGGCCTCCCTGTCCATCACCAACTCCCGGAGCTTGCTCAAACTCCTGTCCATCGTGTCGGTGATGCCGTCCAACCATCTCATCCTTCTTTATCCCCTTCTCCTCTTAATTTAGAACGTTAAGTCTAAAAAAATGTCAATGCAAAAAAACTACACCAAAACAACCCAGTAGCAATCTGAAGCTAAAATTCAAGAACTGCTCTATCTACTACGGGAACCACTGACCACAGGTGGCAATCGATTGTTTGTTTTTTTCCAATCTTTATTTATTTGGCTGCACCAGGTCTTAAGCCTAATCGTAAAGTTAGAGTCTTAGTTGTGGCATGCAAACTCTTAGTTGCATCTTGTAGGATCTAGTTTGCTGACCAGGGAACAAGCCCAGGCCCCCTGAATTAGGAGCACTGAGTCTTAGCCACTGGACCACCAGGGAAGTTCCTGCCTATTTATTCTTTTTCCTACCTCTCTTTTTCACAGTCTCCATTGTAACACTCTTCACTCATGCTTAATCTTCCCAAAGTGCACTGCCCTCTAGTATTTTCTTCCTCCCAACCAGAGGAGTAAAATCAGTGACTTTATTTAAATTGAGTCGGCCCACCTCAGAGTGTCCTGAGCACAGGCTGCTTCATTTGATTGGAAAAGAGATGAGAGCTGATCAGAGACCAGGACAAAGCAGCCAGCCTCCCTTTTAACCTCATCAGCCTTGAGCTAACTGGGTCCTAAAGTGCATGCAGGGGTAGGACTCACTCCTGGCCCTGGAACATTTGGGGAAAATTTCTCACAATGCTTTCTAGTTGAGACATACATGTTCCTGTTACAGGACCTTGAAAAGCCGTAAGAGGTTCTGAGAGAAGCCATGTAAATGTCATGAAGACTTTTAAGTTAATATTTGTGAAGGCCAAAAGAATGTCTGGCACTGTATAAGAAATCTCAAGGCAACTAAAAGAAATTTAAATCATTTAGACTTTAAAAGAAAATGCATGAGGATTTTATCAGTCCAGCATAGTGTAAATAAATAACCATATGGAAAAGGTACAAGAGCTGGGGCAGAGGAGGAAAGGTCGATGGATCGCATTTTAGTATTGGTCAATGGGGGTAGAAATAGAATGTTGAAACTGACTCCCCCAGCTTTGTTTTCAAGGCCCTTTTAAAAAAATCTTTTTGATAAACACATTAAATCATACTCAGAAACAGTCATTGGACCCAGTGCTGATTGCTGTCCATGGAATCATGAACACTCTTGTCCAAACCTTTGAACAGTTTTATATCCTTTCTGTAAGATTACTCTGATAATTCTTGCATCAGATGCCATTAATATTTTAGAACAAGACACTTGTGATTGGAGTTCTAAAATATACAAAATACAAAGTTCTTAGTCTTTGTGAAATGCAAGAAAGAGTAGAACATTCAGTTCAGTTCAGTCGCTCGGTTGTGTCAGACTCTGCAACCCCATGGACTGCAGCACGCCAGGCCTCCCTGTCCATCACCAACTCCCGGAGCTTGCTCAAACTCCTGTCCATCGTGTTGGTGATGCCGTCCAACCATCTCATCCTTCTTTATCCCCTTCTCCTCTTAATTTAGAACGTTAAGTCTAAAAAAATGTCAATGCAAAAAAACTACACCAAAACAACCCAGTAGCAATCTGAAGCTAAAATTCAAGAACTGCTCTATCTACTACGGGAACCACTGACCACAGGTGGCAATCGATTGTTTGTTTTTTTCCAATCTTTATTTATTTGGCTGCACCAGGTCTTAAGCCTAATCGTAAAGTTAGAGTCTTAGTTGTGGCATGCAAACTCTTAGTTGCATCTTGTAGGATCTAGTTTGCTGACCAGGGAACAAGCCCAGGCCCCCTGAATTAGGAGCACTGAGTCTTAGCCACTGGACCACCAGGGAAGTTCCTGCCTATTTATTCTTTTTCCTACCTCTCTTTTTCACAGTCTCCATTGTAACACTCTTCACTCATGCTTAATCTTCCCAAAGTGCACTGCCCTAGGTAGAAAAATCTCTGGGCCTCAGAACAAACAGACCTATCAAGCTACTAGTGATGAGACTGGAAAAGGAAATGACCTTCATCACTGAGTATCAAATCCCTTTCCAACTCCGTTGGTTCTACTCCTTTGTTATAGACAAAATTGAGTTGTCAGCAGAGACTTCAATACCATAGTTTTTAATGATAAATCATTATCATTGGCTTCTAACTCAAAAGATGTTCAGACAATTGAAGGGCATTGTTATAACCAAATATGCCTTCCTTACCTATCCATTTAGGTATATGAACAAGGTTTGGGGGCACTCTTTTAATGAAAAAAAAAAAAGGAATAAAGTTAATGTTGAATCTTGCCTCACTCTAGCAATAAGTACTGTTAATCCACTAATACATGATGGAAAGATACATTTCCAATGTATTTTATTCTGTTTAATAATTACCAAATTTTGGAATATAAGTTGTTTTGATAAGGTTTATAAAATTTGTCATGATTTAAATTGTTACAATAGCTCCATGCAAAATAATTTTTTGTGGTTTGAAAAAAGCTTTAAGATGCATATATTTTTTTTGTGTGCAAGGAAGCCTATTAGGTAATCAACAGTAGACTTTTAAGCATAAACCTATGTTGCATTGAGATAAAACCTGTAAGGAAAGTAGAATAGGCAGGAATGCACAGGGTGATGCTGTGTTCTTGTCAGTGCATCCTATCGGGGGCACAAGATGACCATTAGTCCCATAACTAGTGATGTTAATTCTTACCAGTTGGTTACCATAGTAGCCCCTGAAGTGAATTAGTACTGGTACTGATTAAGAATAAGAAAGATATTTGTAGAAAGATATTTTAAGATTTCTAGCTATCCTGTTCCTCATTAGATGTTCACTCACAGTCCTAGGATCCATAGATGATTCTTCCTTAAATTAATTGTTACCACAGTGATTTCCTTTCTTTAAAAATAAGAAAAACAAAACACTTTATTCTTGACTGTGCTGGGCCTTCGTTGGCTGTGCGCTGGCCTCAGTGTTTGGCTTCTTACTGCGGTGGCATCTCTTGTGTTGGAGCACGAGCTTTAGGGCAGATGGGCTCAGTAGTTGGGGTGCATAGGCTTACTTGCCCCAGTGGCATGTGGGGTCTTTTTGGGCCAGGGATTAAACCCGTGTCCCCTGCCTTGCTAGGTGGATTCTTTAACTGATGACCACCAGGGAAGTCCCACAAGGCTTTCTTAGACTGCTAGTACAGACTGTTATTTAACTCTTTGACTGTTACCTAGCTTTCCATTTTTGTACACATTATTATGTTTTTCCAACTGGATTTCAAAAAGCTCATTAGAAACAGAAGCGTGTGTTACACTTCTTTGTGTTTAGTATAGTGCAGAGTACACATTAGACATTCAATAAATATATTTTTAAATGGTTATTAAACTGTTAGGTTGTCTGCAATATGCTTCAAAAGACAGAACATCTTTTAAATTATCCTTGCAGATTGCTACATAATACCATTTTCTTGAAAGCAGAATTCAAGGCAAAGCTGGTCTGTCTTGGACTCATTACTAAAGCCTAAAATGTTCTCATTTTAAGGCACTAAGGCAATATTTCTAGTTATTTATGCAGCATCTATTGTATTTTCCTTCCTTATTAAAAATAATAGTAATAATACTTTTGTACAGGTTGCCTAACAGAAAACATTCAGCTTTCCAATTCCCTGCAAACTCTGAGTAGATGTGGAATGAAGTTCAGGCCAGTGTATAAGTGGAAGTAGTAGGCAGAGAGGATTCCAGGAAAGCTTGTTAAATGAAGACTCTGCTGGGAGGTCTTACACCTTTTGACTTTTGCTCCTTTCCCCCAGGCAATGCTGCTTGCCTGCAAAGCTGATGACAGTGGAAAGATTGAGGCAGTTCACCAACCACCCTGCAAACATGAGGGAGGAAGCCACAAACTAAGGATATCAGAGAGTAAAGACAGAAGGAGTCTGGGTTCCTGATGCCGTCACAGAGATGAGGCAGTTCACCAACCACCCTGCAAACATGAGGGAGGAAGCCACAAACTAAGGATATCAGAGAGTAAAGACAGAAGGAGTTTGGGTTCCTGATGCCGTCACAGAGTGGTCATCTAGCCCTGACCTAGTTCTAGACTGCCCGCTTACAGATCCCAAGTTATGTGTGACAAGTAGAATTATCATGGTGGCTGGGTTTTTATTATCTGCCATACAACACAATCCTCACTTTTATAGATACTTACTTACCATGCTGCCCTAAATCAGATTTTCCGAACAGTCGTCTTTGTTGTTCTTGTGAATGGGCTACTAGTACTGCTGAGGAAGAAACATGCTGAAGTAGAGTGACAGGAAGTAGGTGGATCCCAGAGACCTAGTTTTTATCAGTTCCCTTCCAATACCAGGAAAAGAGATGAGTCACTTAGCGTTATAGCATCACTATTTTGTGGCCAGGAAAAAAAAAAAACCTGTAAGTTCTAAGGGGCAAAATAATCATCTTAAGGCTACACTTTTCCCACTTAATTTATCTGTCCCATACTTCAGTACTATAACTTTTCTGGAATGTCCTTTTCCTCTCTCTGTTTAAATCATAGTTTCCTAACCTCGTCATTAATGACATTTGGGGCTGGACAATCCTTTGTTGTGGGGTGAGGCGCTGTCCGTGCATTGTGAAATTTTACTAGCATTCCAGGTCTCTCTTCACTAGATACCAGTAGCACCCCACCCCCACTCTTCCCCATCATGACAACCAAAATTGTCTCTGGACATAATCGCTGTCCCTGGGAGCCAAGACCTCCCCTCCCCCGCCACCGTTAAGATCCACTGCACTAAACTTGTGTCAAAAATCACCCTGCTGTGCACCTGCATAGACTTCCAGCAACACTGCCTATGATCATCGGCAGTACTGCCTACCTATCTAGATCTCTGTGTTAAACTGTAAGTTCCCTGAAGACAGGGACTACATCTGACTCATCTTTGTGATCTCCCTGTTCATTGACCAAGCAGATATTAAAATGGTCCAGGAAACTAATGGGAATAGATTTCAGGAATCCTGGCTCCCTGATACCATGATTTTGACACTCACTGTTAAGAGACTCCTGTGTCCTGTGTCTTTGCTTGGTATCTTATTTTATAGGCACTCACGCTGTAGTCAAGAGACAGATTCTAGCAGAAAAGTGCTACATGGCTTATTGTTATAAACACCAATTGGATGGAAAAGGAGAGCAAAAATTGTAAGACAACTTTTTATAGTCTCACAAAGAGAAATGAAAAATTCTTAAATGATATGGGAAAGAGTGAAAAGCCAAAGTTTATATACACTATCTTTGTTTCCTTAATGGAATCACAGTTGTATTTTAGTCAGAAAGTGCTGTGTACACCCCTCACCCAGTTCCCTTTTCCCCTGATACTGTCCTTTTACATGACTGTGGTTCATTTGTCACAGCTAAGAAACTGACCTGAATGCACAGGGATTCATTACCCACGAGAAATGGATGAAGTCGTTTGGTTTGCTAGGACTAGTGATTCTAGTGCTTTTAATTTCATGAGTATGTGTTTAAAGGCAGACGTTTTTGAACTCTTTGAGTAACAAGACACCAACCTGTGGGCAGGAAGTCCTCCTGGTGGTGCTGGCGGATGCTTCCTTCAATCCTGTGGGCTGCCCACCCCTTTCTGGAGGAGAGTTGCAACACTTCCTGAAGTTCATTTGTGTGTATTAGGGCTCTAAGAAATTCAATACTCCTTTGGCTTCTGCAAAACGCTGCTGTTCATTTGCTCAGTAAATTAAACAGAGCCTGAAAGGGCGCACACAGTAACAAAAGGAAAAGTTTTGTTTGAAAAGTGAAAAGATATGACATGACTCTCTTTTACAGTTGGCATTGACCCAGAGCAGTAAATGGCTCAATGTTTGTTTTTGTATTTTTGAAGTACAGACTCTCCATTGTCGGTAGGTTTATTGACACCAAGTTTCAAAGGCGGCAGGAGGAGCAAGTTTTATCTTACTTGAAAGACATTTCAGTGGGGCAGGCACCCTTCGTTAGTCCTGAGAAAATAAATACCAGTGTCAATGTGCTGGTTGTGAATTTTTTTTTTTTATCCCATGGACTGAGGAGCTTGGCGAGCTACCGTCCAAGGCATCGCAGAGTCGGACACGACTTAGGAACTATAACAAAAACCCTATAAAGTTACCACCTAACATTTCAGTTCTGTCTTGGAAGGGCACCTCATCTACCACAGGTCCCTATGACAAAAGCTGCAAAACATTTTGATGCATTAAAATGCTACCGGGCCCCCCAAGTTCCCCCAAACGTTCAAACAGGAGGTGGCTCTGCTACAGAAGGAAGCCAGGCTAGGACTGCGGGCGCCATTGGCGGACCCATCTCAAAATTTTTTTTAATAGACTTTCTTTGGGTATAATTTTAGATGGACAGAAAAGTTACAAGGCCAATAGAATTCCCTTATGCCACCCTCCCGCCCCACTCCCCTACACAAACGGTTCTAGTTTCCCGTAATGTTATCAGCCTTTTTAGGTGGCACAGTGAAAAAGAACCCACCTCCAATACAGGAGACACAAGAGACATGGGTTCAATCCCTGGGTTGGAAGAGCCCCTGGAGTAAGAAATGGCAACCCACTCCTGTATTCTTGTCTGAAAAATTCTATGGACAAAGGAGTCTGGCAGACTACAGTCCATGGGGTTACAAAGACTTGGACACAACTGAGCACACACGCACACAATGTTTTCAACCTACACTGTCGTTGTTATATTTGTCAAAATGCCAATACTGCCACAGTGCTATTAACTAAACTCTAGACCTTATTTGGATTTCAACTGTTTCTCCCTTACTTTCTGTTTTCTGTTCTAGAATCCTGCCTTGGTTTTGATTGCTTTGCTTTCGTATGGTATGTCTATTTTTGCAAAATGTTTCATGACTAATTTCGGTAAGTGATATTTATCTGTACAGCACTGGATTTACCTAAACTCAACCTTCCCAGACACATACATAAACCCTGAGGCTCTGATTCTAAAATAATAGCAACTGAATCCCTCCCAAGGTGAGATGGCCTTGCATTTAGGTGATGCTGTGAGTTTTATCCTGACCTGGCTCATAGGAGACTGAATTTCTTGAGAATGGCCCAGGGACTTTCAATATTAAAAAAAAAAAAAGAATCCTCCTGTCTTTTATTTATATCTGACTTTGTACATCTAATATTCCTGTGGGGAAAGACAGCAAGCTGTACATTTTCTGTTCTCTCATAAACTTTTTTGAAAACATCTAGGATTTATGCAGCTCCAAGAATCAGCTGGGTAAAATATAGACCAAACTCTGGTTTGGAGAATAAAGGAAATATGAGAAGAGAAAAGCTTTGGGAGCGGAGGACAAGAATTACGATTGCCTCCGAGATATTGGAACAGAGACCATGCATCTTCCATTTCCAGACCCTGTAAGGACGGTCCTGGCAACCTGGAGGCTGGATGCCTGGACTAGGGACAAATGGACATCGGGCAGGTTTTCAGCTCTGACACATACTACTTAGGTAACCTTGGACAAGTTACTTGACCTCTCTGAGCCTCAATTTCCCTATTAGGAAAATAAGAATCAAGTGTTGACCAAGATAATATGTTAAACACAGTCCGTGACACAGAGAAAGCATCACAATTAAGCATCACAATTCCTGTTAGGTATTACTCTCACCAAGGGTCATCCACCTTCACACCATGTGCCATTGCCACACTTTCCCTAGTTTCACACAATTCTCATCCTTTCTTCGATCTTTTGATATCTGGTAGCCAGGAGTTTTGACAGGTCCCAGACGGCCAAGTAGAGCAATGGTGGGTCCAAGTCTTTAAAATATGTCTGAATATAAAATTTGACCACTGGTTACATGCAGAAAAGTGCCCATGAAGGTGGACCATAGTGATGGATGAGATGTAGGAGAGGCATCATAGGGATGGACACCAGGTGAGTTTTCCCCAGCTTCACTCTCCACCAGCAAGAGGACAAAAGGCCCACATGACCCCTGGGTGGGCTGGACCTGGCCACAGGCTGCCGACAACCAGTTCTGTCTGTGTGACCTAGGACAACATTCCCAGCAGAGAGCTGTCAACATTGCCTCGGTACACAGACCTGTGACCTCTGGTGAGATTCCGGGGCGGGGCCTGGATGATGCCATACCTGGGGGTGGGGGGGCTCATGGGAGTTGCTCTGCACAGAACAGCTGAGCAAGGCTGCAGGATCTGGGGAGGAAGAGGTTGGGATCTCCAGTTTTTTAAAAAGGGACCCTGTTGGGACTTTTCTGGCGGTCCAATGGTTAGGGCTCCGAGCTTTCACTGCTGAGGGCCTGGGTTCAATCGCTGGTCGGGGAACTAGGATCTCACAAGTCACAAGGCGCAGCCAGAAAAAAAAAGTGGGGGACCCTGTTGCTTCATACTAAACAGATTCATTTTGTGTTTGAAAATGAGTTGTATTTTCCAACCTAGAGTTCCAGAATTATAGAGTTTATTACAATCCTTAGGACCTACAACATGTTTCCTAAAAGCCCTTGTCATAGTCTGTGCCTGCATGGAAGCCAGAGGTGGGGGACTGACCGCCAAACTTGAACATCCCGGGGTGGAGGTTAGTGTTTGGCTCTGCTGGGGGACCAGGAATACACCATGGATCTCTTCAAGAGCTTTTTTTTCATTGTTGTTGTCTGTTTTTAACTATTTCTTTTTGGCTGTCCTGAGTCTTCCTTGCTGTGCGGGCTTTTCTCTAGTTTCTAAATGATCTCAGGGGCTATTCTCTGGTGGTGTGTGCGGGCGTCTCATGGTGGTAGCTTCAGCACGGGCTCAAGGGTGCTGGGGCTTCAGTAGTTGTGGCGCATGGACTCAGCCGTTGCAGCTCCTGGGCTCTGGGGCACAGGCTCAGGAGCTGTGACACACGGGCTTAGGAGCTCCTAGCATGTGGGATCTTTTCGGATCAGGGGTCCGAACTTGCGTCTCCTGCACTGGCAGGTGAATTCTTCACCACTGGGTCCCCTGGAAAGCCCTGTTGTTGTCTGTTTTTACTCGAAAAGACAGGGATGTGCATGAAAGCAACCTAACAGTGCCTGAGTGCCTGGAACACAGGCGTTTAGGTCCAGGCTCCGAAGCAAAGGCAGTCCAGTCTGAGCCCCTTCACTTCCCCAGGGCGGCCCTGCCTGGAATCTGAAGGAAACTGACATCATCAGAGATAACCCCCTGTTCGAGTTCTTCACGCCCACAAACAGCCTCCTCGGCACCAGATAACAGAATGCTGGTGACCGGAGTGCCCACCTGCCAGCCTCAGACCCCCACCCAGGGCAGCACCATCCGGGAACAGGCACCGCCACAGAAGGAATGAATGCAGGTTCTCCAGCATCCCAAAGCCACATGTCTGGGATCCTTTAGATTCACCTTCCAGTTGACCAGGTGACTTTACAAGTCGAAGGGCCTCTGAATCTGACTTTACTTTCCAGAGCTGAGAAACGGATAGAGAAGACAGCCGCCCTGGGCACAGCTTTGGATGAAAATAAAATTTCTCAGTTGAGGTGTTTCATTAGTGTCTTGAAAAATCAACTTTGTTCAGGCTTGCAGGAAGTGTGTTGTCTAAGTGTAACTTTAAACATTTGGGGTGCAGAAATTGAAAACAGTTTTCTAGAGGGACACTCCTAATCTTGATCAGCAAATGTCCCCCCACTCCTTCGGGGACCAGGACTAGAGGGAGGAGAACAGTTTGTACTGACTTGAGCTTCTCCTGAAAACTTCCATCCTTAACCTGTGCTCAACTATTTGCATTCAGTAGGTTTTTTAAAAATTTCTGTTCCCTGTGCAATGAACTGGTATTTCCAACATTATAATTAGAACCACAGTCAGAAAAACCTTTTTTTGGAGTTGGTCATTCATCCTGAGCGCTGCGCTGCCTTTATCTTCTCACTGGGAGCAGAATCTAGAAGCGGAGAGAGATAGTAAGTGACTAATGTTGTATAACTGCAACCAGCCCTTAGGAGTGGGACTGAGGAGCAAGGGCCTAACTCCGCAGGGCCATCAGGGAAGGCTTCCAGGAGGAGGTAATATTCATGAGGCCCTGAAGGATGAGCAGGAGTTTGTGTAGGATTTAGCTTTACTTTACCCCCTGCTCCTTCTCCCTACTAGAGAAACTAGATGCCACCTGGCCCCTGAGTTACAGTCTCAAGAAAGCAGTAATAGTTCATTTGGGGCTAAAAAAGACCTGAAACTAACACAACATATATTCAACCTTTGACACCTGCTACCGTTCCTGAGGCTGAGTGGAAGAGAAGACCCTTCTGGATTTCAGTATACTTATTCCAACTCTCCTGAGACATCCTTTGTCTCTTTCTTACCCTCATCCTTAGCCTCCTTCAAGATTTCCTTGATATTTTCATTTTAACCAACAACTTTTCTTTAGAAATGGAGACAGGAAAGAGAGAAAGGATACCTTCCCATCCTCCCCACCCTTCCCCTGTTTGGCTTTCAATTCTGCACACTCACTCCCTCCCCAGTTCCTTACTCTGCTTCTCTCCTTAAAGGAGACGGAAGGGACTTTGGGGTATCTGAGTTCAGGGGGTGCTGTCCCTCTCCTGAGTCCCTTGGAGGAGTTATCTCTTGGGGTCAGGAGCCAGGTGGGAGCCTGGGGTTCTGGGATCTGCCTCTGTGCCCGCTCCCGCCACCCTCCCCCCACCCTGCAGCTTTCCTCACTTTGCACAATGAGGTTGTTGACCTTTTCCATTTCATCTTGTTTTTCCTCTGTACCCTCCTTGGCTTGGCAACCACAAATCAGCTCTTTCCTCCTTGGCATTTCTTATGTATATTCCATTGAAATTAAAAACTCAAGAGGAAGAGGCCCCACAGACCTTGAAATGTTCAGCCTGCCTTCTGGCCTTGGCCTCTGGCTCGACTGGTTCCACCTGCTCTCCTGGGAGAGTGGGCAGCTGATGAAACCCAGAGGCCCCGAGCCCTCCCTTCCAGCAAGCGCTCTTGTTTGCATATCCTGGTTGGAAAACAGGAACCGCTGGTTGGAGATCGATCAGGGAGGTGAAGTTACTGAATGAGTGGGTGAGTGAGCCGCAGGCAGCGGCCTTCCCGAGAAAGGCAGAATCTGCCGTCTCTTTTAACAGATTAAAATCTTCCTTGTTGGGACCAGGAGGGTGGAAAAAAAATAAAATTAAATTAAATCTTCCTTGTTTGTTTGCTCTCTGCTTCTGAAAGTTTTCTTGGAACCCTGTTCCCAGAAGAAGCCCAGTGATAGGAAATAAGGGTCACAAAGACCAAGAAACCTTGTTTGGGCCCTCCTAAGTCGCAAAGCTCCCTTTGTTTTCAAAGAAACCAGCATGAGGATGTGTGAAATAAGTCACTACTAGAACATGAGTGAACGGTTACAGGACGTGAGCCAGGCATGGTGCATAACTCCTAGCCTCTGCTCTCTTATCTCTGCAAGGTAGGAATCGGCTCTGTTTCTCAGAGGAGGAAGATCAGGCTCTAAGAGGGTAAGCTGAAGGTCACATGGTCGACCTGGGATTCAAAGCTGCATCCCTGTGAATTCAGAGGTTGTCCAGCTTTCTGGAGGTTGCACAGATGTAGAAAGGACCCAGGCCAGGCCCACTGCTTTTAGGACAAGACGCCTCTGAGGCAACCCCCGCCTTCAGCGATTTGCATGGTATGACACAGAAACTGAAAACTCAAGTCAAGGTGTCCGAAACCAGCAAAAGAAGGTTCCTTTCAGTCGCTGTTCCCGTCCCTTGGTGGGGGTATAGACTGGGTGACATTTACTGTGCAAACAGCAAGCTGGGAGCCAGGCAGAGCCCACACCCAGCTGAGTAAATAGTACCTGGAGGCCTCGCGGCAGGGCACCCAAGGTCCCCAGTGAGGCCACCCTTTGAGAGGCAAACAGGAAAAGGTGCCTGTGGGCTGGGAGCCGGGAGCCCGGAGCACTGGTCCTAGTGCTGCCTCTTGTACGTCTCTGTTCCTTACCTAGAAGTGGAAGAAGTCAACTTGGTGACACGGGAATCTGGCTGCAGCGGTCAGTTTGCCTTGGGCAGCGTGGATTGGTGGGTAGGCCTGCAGAGGGGAGAATCGAGCTGCCTGGGTTCAAGTATGAACTTCACCACTCACACACTCTGTGACCCCAGACAAGTCCTTAATTTTTCAGAGCCTCTGTTTTCCCATTACTCATCCAAGGATAATTATAGGACCCATCTCACAGGGGCTTTCAAGGAATCACAGTCAGAAGGCACAGTAGAATTCTAGAATATTCCATCATAGCCATGAGAGCCCTTTCCTTTGACTTTTTGTTGCTATTGTCAGGGACATTGAGATTCAATTCAAGCAAAAGTTAACAAACTTAAAAGAAGAGGGTTAACCTCTTAGAGTTCAAGCTTAGTTCAGTACTGGTATCTAGTTGGGAATTATTAGTGATTCCTTAATTCTGCAAACATTCAGTGAATGCTTGGAACCTGAAAAGGCTCTTTACTAGTTACCTGGATGATACAGAGATATTACCACATGGACCCTATCTGTCCAAGATCCCACTGTCCAAGAGGAGACGCACACAAATATCTATGACACAGAAGCAACCAGCAGTCCAGTGGTGAAGAATCAGCCTGCCAATGCAGGGGATGCAGGTTAGATCCCTGGTCCGGGAAGATCCCATGTGCCACTGGACAACAAAGAACTGGACACAACTGAGCGACCGAGACACTCTGTGCCAAGCATCATCTTCGGTATTAGGTGCTAAGCACATAATGGTGAACAAGAATATGCTTAGAAAACATGAAAATTTTCCAGAAATCCCCTGCAAAGAAAGACTGAGCAAGAAGATCAATGGCAGAACATGCCCAGAAGTCAGAAACCATCCCCATGATGACCATTTTAGATGAATTCTAAGTAGATACTGCTTAGCAGGTGGTCACAATTCTCCCAAGCCGGCTGCTATTCTTGTGTTTAAAACACCTGCTGCTGTTTCCAGGATGCTAACATTTACTTTGGTTTTTATGTCAATGCCTTTTGTACAGAGAGCCAGCTGTGGAGCTTTTCTTGTTTCAACATTGCCCCTGGACTGTGCTTTGTTGATAAGAAAATAAACACCACTTGCCAAGATAGCACTGGAGCAGGCTTTAAGA